AACTTATCACCTCATGTAAATTATCTTAGTTTTTCACTATTATATCAATTTAAGTGGCTTATTTATATTTTATTTTTAAAATAAAAAATTAAGAACATACACATTTTAATTTTTTTCTTATTATTGTTTTCATGGATTCCATTTTTTATTTTCTTATTCCAATTTTTTTTTTGAAAATATTTCAATCGGTTCATTGCTTTGCAACTAATCCGATTCGGGGTGGGTTCAGGATTAAGGCTTTAAACCCCTCTCAAAGGTGGTCTTGAGGAGATTCGAACACATGCTCTCACCCTCACCTGCTTAACTCCCATGCGCCAGAATCGACCGATACTGCTAGAGCCGATGGCGGCGCCACCGTCACCTTCACTGTCATGAGAGCGTCATCAAGTATTTCAAACTTATTTTCAAAACAAAGCTTTTATATTTTTATTTTGTAAAGAAATTGTAGAAAATATTTCTATTAAACCATTAAAAAAACCCTACAATCAGGCTCTTGGTTGTCTATACACTAGAAATTTTTAGTAGACAACGAAAACACATTATAGTGTTCTGTTTTATCCTTATATAAACAGAGAGTTAATTCCAAATCATACAATATAGAGATTCTTGCCCTCTTCACCATGTAAATTTTTTCTGATATGAACCAACACATTATAATTATACACATTTTTTTGTTGTTGTTAATAAACACATATATAGGTCTCACACTAGTTGAAGAGCCACTAGTAGTAATGTACGTAGGCATAGAAGGGGCGAGGGATGGAGTGTATTAGGTAAGTTCTAAATTTCCCACACTCCTAAATGCCCCAAGCTCTAATCAATAGATCAGTTGTACCATCTAACGTATCTAATTAACACATTATTTAATAATAGTTTACAAAGGAATCAAAATTAAACTGGCTGTTAAACATGTTAGTGCATATATATAGATTCTTAAAGTATTGCATCACAGAATTATGGGCTTGTTTGGAAAGTTTGCGTTTAGCTTGGGAAAAAGATTTAGAAAAGTGTGGCTGGAAGGAGATTCCCTCTCAGCCCAACAGATTATTTCTAATGGGTGTCATCAGGATCACCCTTCGTCGAGCTTGGTGCAACGTATTAGAGGAATGTTGCAAAGATGCTGGCAGGTCCAGATTTCTCATGTCCATCGTGAAGGAAACAAAGTAGCTGATTTCTTAGCTTCACATGCGTATAGCTTTCCATGGGATGTGCAAGTCTTTGATGACCCTCCTCCTGGCTGTCTTCAAAGTTTATACAGCGACACTGTAGGTGTTCGCTGGGCTAAGTTCTGTACTTAGGCCTTTTTGCTGTATTTTTCATTTCCTTTATCTTTCAAAAAAAAAAAAAAAAGGTATTGCATCGAATCCAAACAATTGAAATATACAATGGATACAGGGAGTTGCTGCCTGGTTGTGGCTAAGTACTTTTCTTCTTTTTTTATTTTTTTTGCTGAGAAGCTAATTAAGTACTTTTTTTAGTTAAAACCCATCGTTACAGGTACATGAATGAGTACCGCTAATATTTATTAATTAGTAAGAAAATCCACTTGACGTGCCTTTGTAACTTCACGTTTCTAGACATGATTTCTTATTACATATTTTTGTCCAAAATGTCTTGTCCCCAGACGTAAACAAAATGTTCACGATACTTCTTTAGAACTTAAAGTGGCAATATATACTGCATCTCAAGCAAGCTTAGATCAAGCCTCAATCTTAGTTTTATTTATCATGTCAGGCTTAAAATCGGGATCGTAATATCTAAAAGAGAAACCAAATTAAGATTGAAACTAAAGAAAAGTAAAATAAAAATTAAACTGATCAAAGTAAGAAGATACAAATCTGTTTCTCCTAAGAGTAAAATATGTTGATCAGAAAGAGACAAGAGAAGTAGTGGCATAGAGCAAAGTTCTGTAAAGTCACATTAGCGACATCAGGCTAATTGAGGGTGAAAGGAGATATGTAATTGCGCTATGGTGTATAGGGATGTGTATGGGTCGAACCGAACCGAATTTTTTGAAAAATCGAACTGAATTGGTTTAAATGATTCGGTTTGAAAATGGTTCAGTTCGGTTCAAAATTGGTTCGGTTCGAAAGTGATTCGGTTCGGTTGGAAACGGTTCGGTTGGAAACGGTTCGGAATCGGTTCGGGTCGACCCTCTTTTGAAAAGAAAAAAAATTAAAAAAATTAAAAAAATTAAAAATAAAATTATAAAAATCAATTTGGTTTGGAAACGGTTCGGTTCAAAATAGTTTGGTTCTTAAACTGGTTCTACAAATCGGTTTGGTTCATGAACTGGATCTTTAAAAATTGGTTCGGTTCATGAACTGATTTTTAAAAAACAGTTATTTTAAGGACGGTTTGATTCGGTTCATGCATGATTCGGTACAATTTTTTAGTTATTTTATAACGTGAAGGGAAATTTCAGCAGGGTAATACTAATAGCAAACAAATGAACAAGATGACAAATGAGGGAGCTGAGGCTCCGTGACCCGTGGCAGGTAAAATGTTATGCGTGTATTGGAAGTATGAGAGGACACATATATAAGAAAGTTATGTGTTTCATGTGCCAAAGGAGAAAAAAAAAAAAACTAAAAAAGGAGAGTGTATAAGTCAAATGTGATACTACAGCAGTGCAGTGCACTCGTACTAAGTTAATAATAATTAATGTACAGGTATGCATTTTTTATTTTTATACTATCATGCCTAAGATGCTGAAGCACCCTTTTAAATTAATAGAACAAAGAAAGAGAGTTATAAGCGACAACAGTACCAGGAGTAGGAGGAAAAGCGAGGCTTCTCCCCCAACATATATGTCTTCTATTGAATGTTGATGCAATCATGTTGGCCTTCAGCTAGGGAAGAAGATAACACCCTGTGGGCCACCATGAACATCACGAGTAGAAACAAGCTTGACCACCCTCACCATACTCATGTTACGTCATCACTCATTTCTTTTAATTATCCCATGCATGTTAGGTACACAAAAAATTATAAGGGGAATTATCCATTCTAAAATATGAACATTAATAAAAAGTACATTCGCAGAGGCTTCATAAACATGATTTACAATAATTAAAGGCCTTTGTCGTGCTAGTTGAACCAATAATGATAGTTTCTTTTAGTGAGCCATGATTAAATTTTTTATAATTACTAGATGAGAAAAACCATTAAATTTGGATCTTAAGATTCAGTTCAGAGTTATGTATCATGCATTTTCAGCATCTCATTAATTTGGATCCAAGTAGAATACTGCTTCACCAAAACCATTTTTTCAATGGGAGCTAGATTAATTAAATAAATAAAAAAGAAAAAGAAAAAGAAAACAAGAATTTTCGTTGTCAAATTATCAACTTTTGACCAGATCTCTGGTGCGATGTATTTCAACAAAGTCTTACCGTTGACCCACCTTTGATTTGCATTTACATATTGATTAGGAGTTTTTATTTATTTATTTATTTACATATCGATTATAATTATAATCATGAATAATTAATGGGCTTTACGATCGTCATGTAACTGGATAGAAAACACTCTTCCTACAGACTCAAATAAGTGTGGGGTCTACACCTATTTTTTTTCTTTTATTTTTTTCACCGGATCCAAGAATTGTTTGTGTCAGTGGCAGGAGGAATTTAGTTTGCTGTAACATGATATTTATAAGGGAAATAGTTTTCTCCAACTGTAGGAGATAATTATTTCATGTCAGTGAAACATAAAAAGACGTGCCCGCAAATTCTTTTTTTTTTTCTTTAACTTGTGGGCTCCACATTTCTTGTTAGTGTAGGAAAAAAAACTTCTCTCATGTTAAATGAGAGAACTATTACCCTATTTATAAACCCCATAATTAATTTAACAAATTGGGCTTTTGCCTTTTCCAAATTTAACGCAGACGTCACGCTTGCGTTCAAACCTAAGAAACGGCCTATTGCTGGCCATGTACGTAATAACAGTATTATCGTTCGATTAATTAATTGATTGAGAAATAACAGTATATAACAGGACACTGAACAGGTAATAAAATTAGAGTTTTCTTTTCTCCCGTCACTATATATGAGTTATATGTAATAAGTCTAATATGATATTATTTTGGAGCGAAATTCATGGTATTTTTATAGTTTTAATTTATTCCAAAATTATTATAGTCTTTATAATATTTTTTTAATTTTTTAATTCCAAAATAACGTCATTTTAAAAATAAATGCAGAAATATTTTTCTCATGAAATTATTAAGAATCAAAATACGTTTTACCAAAAAAATCTTGTGTTTATTCTTCTCTTTATAGACATTAAATAGGTGAGAATCCTATTAAAATTAATGGAGAGAGATTAACATGAAAAGATGCATTTATATGGAGAATTTGTTGAAACCTTAGGTGAGTGTTTGGCATGTGAATTTCATGTTTTGGCCATTATCCCTAAACTTAAAAATAAGGGAAAATAGATTTATTTTAAAATTTAAATTGTATGCTATCCTATTGCAAAAATAGGTTGAACTCCTGTGTAATCACTATTAAATATTAGAATAGTCTAAATAGAAAAATTAGGCAATAAATTCTCCAATGTTATGACTTGATCATATGAAAATTTCATGTCTATCTCTCTTTTCATATATATTAAATAAACGTGATTCAATTATTATTAATAAAAAAAATAGATATAAAAATTTCACATAATATGAAATTTTAACATGATGTTAAATAAATTTAAAAAATAAATAAGCAATATGGAAACAGAATCTTGTTACTGTGAAAGATCCAAACAAAGATTGCAATTAAGAAACTGACGTTCCTCGTTGGCACAAGCAGTAGAATCATCGTTTTCATTTCGACGCCCACGAGGTTTCTACCAACATTACCACATTCAATTTACCATAATTATCACAATTTTTGTTTTCTTCTCCCTTTTCTTTCTGTTTCCAATTCCATGGACTGTTTCCAATTCCTAACATAAATAACTATTAATATTTTCTTCACAGAGAAAAAAACTACCTGAAGAGGTAGATGAATTAATTAATCTAAAATATTTTTCTCTCCCTCCAATCTGAACCCCCATTTCTCTTTCCCCTTTCGTTTCTCAAAAGCCTTTATCTCTCTTTGTCACCTTCGCCTCAGCCATCTCTCTCTCTCTCTCTTCCCTTTCTCTCTCTAAATTTCTCTGTCTTTCCTATTATTTCCTTTGTTCCGCTATTTCGAGGTGAACTTGCTCTTTTCCTTTGCCTTTATTTTTCGGGTGATTTTTTCATGTTCCAATATCAGCTTTGTATCTGTTCAATCCAATTTTCCTTTTTTTTTTACCTTGCAATGTTTTATTTATTTATTTTCCCTTTTTTTTTTCGTTTCCGGCAGCTTCAATTCAATCAAATGTTGCTTTTTTTTTTTTTTTTTTGTAATTTTTATTTTATTTTATTTATATCGTTCAATTTGTGCATCGTGCTTTCACCCTCTTTGTGTTTTTCAGCTTGTAATAACATACAGAGTAGAACATGAAACAGAAGACAGTTACTAGTTTAGCTTTGAAGAAACTATGAGCATGGCATCGGATATATGTTTTTTGGGCTATTTTTTTTTCCCTAAATTTTTTAATACTTGAAACTTGTTTGTTGAAGGCAAGTTTTATGTGGAAGCTTTTAGAGATTTACTTATTTTTGTGAAAGTCATATTGGGAAAGAAGGGAAATGAAATTATGCGATTGTGGACCCTGTATATGCTAGGTTCATTTTTAGATTTGCTTTCGTTTTTCATTTGGTGCCATTAGTAACAAAAATAGTTTGCTGATGGTACTTTTGATTCTTGAAGAGCTCAATATCAAGTATTTTTTAAGAGTGGATTGCTATGAATATTTACTAAAGTTTGAAGTTCTACCTTGAAAAAACTTGTTTTCTAAGCATATAATCAGCTCTTGAAATTTGCAGTTTTTATGCTCTACTTTGGTTTTCTTTATTTATATTGGATTGCATGCAATTCAGGCGTTCAGAATGGATTTGAGATTTTTATTGTAGCTTTACAGCTACTTTCTTTGAATTGGCGTTGCTTCTGAGAGAATTTTACTTATCTGAGTCATCATTTATCATGTTTAGGAAGGAACAAATAGCTGGAATGGCAAAGGAGGAAGAGTCAGGTAGTCCTAGTTGGGGTGCTTCATTTTTTATGCAGACAACAGAGGATGTGGCCAGAGCTGTCACTGCTGCCATGAATTCTCCGAGGCCATCTGTGATATATTCATCAAAAGATGATCATGTTGGTAGTCAACTTCAAAGGCTGCAGCTTCAAGTTACAAAAATGATAAAAGGCTTTTCTCGCCCTCCTGATGTTAAGTATGCAAATTACAATCCAGAAATCCTGACAAGTCAGAAGCGTCAATGGGCTGCAAACTTTCAGTTGCAGTACATGGTAAATATTTCTGATTAAATGCACCAGAATTAAGTGTTCATTCTACTCTTTTGAGTATAAACTACAAAGAAACTTAAGCTGGTTGTAACTGTAGGATTTTTGGACATTGGATTTTGAATGCTTCTTTTTCTTGTTCTTCGTTTATTTGTTTCATCATTTGCTTCTTTGAACATTCAGATGTCCTCACTTTGGCTTTTAAAAAAACCATTATATCTACGCGTTTTTTCTTGCCACATGCCATTCTCAGTTTTTTTTTGCTTTATGCATTTTCTTTTTGACTCAACACACAAACTATGAAACTATTTAGTCCCTAGATTGTTCTCAGACACTGATACACTCCCTCGCATTTGAGTTCACAGGACCATAGGTCTTGGAAGGAGCCAACAAGGCTGTTTGAAAGCATGGTGGTTGTTGGACTTCATCCTAATTGTGACATTCAGGCTCTGCAAAGGCAACATCTTGATATGAAGTCTGAAGGCCCCAGTAAATTGAGAAGTGCACTTGGTTATCAGAACCAATCCAATGTAGAACTCAATATTGAACCTCAGGTTTTGATCATTGGTTACAGAGATTAAATTATTATTATTATTGTGATAATTATTCTCACTGCTTCTGGTACTAGCACTAATTTTATTTTTATTACAGTAGTACTGCTATGAGGACTACAATTTTCATTGACCACTATCTTTAAAACTGTACATTTAAATTTTGTCTTCAAAAGTATCAGTATCATGAAAGCTGTACATTTAAATTTTTTCCAGGTCTTATTTGTTTACCCTCCAGAAAAACAGCTGCCTCTTAAAGACAAGGATCTTGTTTCTTTCTGCTTCCCCGGAGGCCTGGAGGTTAGATCTGTGCTTAATTAACTTTTATCTTTTTCCCTATCCTTTTTATATATTACTATTACTACTATCTTCCACATCATCATTTATATTATTTTCATATAGAGCAAGATCAAACACAAATTACCTCTAGCATTGGGGAATTATTATAACAAAAAATAGAAAAGAAAAAAGATCAGGAAAAAGTCATAGCCTTTTGAAAGATATTTCCCCCCAATTTGATCTTATGAAAATGGAACTTTTGATTATAAAATTTTTCAAACTTTGTCTTCCTGTCTATCTTCTGTGGTATTTTCTTTTGTTTTTAAGGAGTTTGAGAATTTATTGCTATTGTTATTTGAAAGCAAAGAACATAATTTGTTCCATTTTGGTATAACTTAAGAGACAAAGGTTGGGGGGAGGGGGGGCAGAGGATAGGATAGAGGTGTAAGGCTTTTCTGCCATGAAAGCCTAAGAGAACATCACTTGTGTAACAAATAAACACTCTCATTTACTTACTAGGTACCCACTATATGAACTGCATTCTGAATTTCAGATGAATCAGAGTGATTAATATTGCTTGTATTTAAATTCTTGCATTGATTGAGTCAACTGTAATTTGTATGATTATGTACTTGTCTGTCCTGTCTTGGATTTATTTACTTTCATGTGATTAACTTACATTGAGCTTTTACTTAGGTTTTACTTTTTTTTTTTTTTAATGTAATTTTAGGTTCATGCTGTTGAGAAAACTCCTTCCATGAGTGAGTTGAATGAAATTCATTTTGGGCAGGTATTTGTGCTAAATTACGTGTTATGCAAATTAATTATTTTTGGTTAATATTCGGTGGATATTTTGTCTTCCCCATTTAAGTATTTGACCAATTATTAACAAACCCTCTGAAATGACATATCTATCTTTTTCAATTTGGTTACCGTGTATCTACAACTTCATTGTATATAGACTATATAATAGAATTGGAAACTCATGCACTTAAAGGGCATTTTTTATAGGGCTAAAGGGTAGTTAGTTTGTTAAAATAGTTATGTTTGGACAGTTAAAGTTGTCAGAGCTAGAGAATTAGCTTAAAGAGAGAGACTAGAAGAGGGAGATTCATATTTGATATTTTTAGAAAAATAGAGCAGTGGCTCAGTTGTAAGGCGAAAAACCCTCAAGAGGAGATTTTCTACTTTGTTCTTTATTTGTGATTCGGTAAATCAATACAGAAAGGTTCTTTTTGGGGTAAAGGTGATGTTGATGTTTCTATATGGAAATTCAGACTTTGTTTTGAAGTTCTTAACAAATTGGTCTGACCTGTTGGATCTCTTATTGGCAAAAAATAGAGGATTCTATAGTGTTCTTGAAAAAGGTAACCAACTTTAATGGATTACAACCTTGTTCATGGAATTCCAGTTGCATTGGTTGATGAAAGGGCGGAGGCATGGCCTTTTGCGACCAAAAAGAGTATTGAAGGGATGGGAGAGATCAAGCAAATGATAGGTAAGTGGCTGCGGAAAGAAGGGGGGGGGGGGGGGGGTTGGTCGATCTTAAGGATGAGGGGACTAGCAAACAACCCTCTAGAGAAAATGCGTTGCAGCACGCTACCAAGATGTTGGAGGAGAACTCGGATGGCAGTGGGTTTGAGTATGGCAGTGACACGATGAGTTCTTTGGCAAAGAAGATTGAATTGCCCAATTTTGATGGCAGTGATCCTTTGGGATAGGTCACCTGGCTGGAAAAATTCTTTAAGGTGCACCAAACAAAGTTGTTGGAGCACGTGCAAGAAGCAGCAAATACAAAACCAGAACCAAATGTGGAGAAAGAATCAGAGCACGACCCAGTGGTAAAGACGTTTGAGGCCGGGAAAATGATAGAGAAAATCAAGGCTGAAGACGAAGGTGAAGAGAAACATGGTTTTCAGAATTTAGTGCTGGCTGAGATGACAAAGGGAGAAGAGAAACAAAATATCTACCAAAACGACTGGACTCAGATTTTTCCATGGAGGAGGGTGGAGTCACAAAACCACTGTTGAAACCGGCAAACCTAGATTCATCCATGGAGATGGATGGAACATCAATGACAGGGCCTTGGAATTTGAAGTTATGCCTTGAATGGCATTTTTATATAGGGCCAAAGAGGAGCAGTTTGTTAAAAGATCTATGTTTGAATGGTTAAAGTTGTTATAGCTAGAGAATAAGTGCAAATTATAAGAGAGGTAGAAGAGGAAGATTCAAATTTGTTAGTTCGATAAAAATAATTTTAAGGGGAAATCCTTGGAGGATATTTCTCTCCTTTGTTTTTGTTTGTGATATGGTAAATAAATACAGAAGGGTTCTTTCTCTTTTCTTTGTTTCTCAGTTATTTCTCTCTGAAAATCCAGACTCTCTTGAGATTCTGATAGAGATCAACAATTCACCAAACAAATTTGTAACGAACTGACGGGACTTAATATTGATATGGAAGCTTGATACAATAAAAAACTAATAAAATACAAGAAAGTGAAGGAAAATTACAGATACCCTAGAGCAATTAGAGAGGCTCTAGTCTCTCCCAATTCCAGCCCAAGTCCAAGATTTGAGATATCCCCAATGTTATGCTTCTCTTCCTATTTAATACCAGCCACCGAGAGTGTGACTCTAACCAAAAGATTCCCTCCTAACTAACTAACCTATGCTGAGTCAGCATTTGCATTTGAGAACCATGATCCCATACGTCTCTTTCTTTCATAAGTCCTTCTAACCTTTTACTTGGTTTGACCGTATCAATACTCCCTCCCAAAACATTCACCTTGTCCTCAAGGTGAAGATCAACCCTTTAATCCTTGAATTAATGTCTCCCCGAGGTCCCATTGTTTGAAATGTACTGAGCAGCTTATACATAAAGCATAATAACCTCCACCAAGATCCTATTGCTCATCTTCAATGCCTATATTCATGATGTGACTTGTAGAAACTGAAAGAACACGAGAATAAGATTCACACAAAGAAATAATGGCATTGTTCATGGTAGTTCTTTCCCCATGGCAGTTCATGGAAGCATACATCCGAAATTCCTTGTCATAAGCTTCAAATAAGAATGGAAGGTATGAATCATAAACTCCACCCCAGTGCTCAGCCAGATCATCAAATACTAGTTTCCTTTTTGCTGAGGTTTTATTCAGAGCACTAGCATCAAGAAAAATGAGGTGTGAGTGGTGATAATCTATTTGTTCCTTGTCTGGCATTTTAAGTAAGTTGTGGACCAGCTTCTAGAAAGTATTTCCCTTAAAATCAAATCGAGAAACTTCAGAGAAGTAATTGACAGTCATGTCAATTAGGACCTCAAATTCTCCAGCCTCCATATTATGGGTGTCATGAAAACCATTTGAAACAAAAACTTTAGTCCATCCAGTCCAGCACTAAATTCTACTGTAGTGAAAGACTTGTCATTCCAATGCAGCAACTCAATGATCAAACCATGAACTCTAGAGATGTTACACTCCTTTTCAAGAAATTTCATGACCAACTGCTGTAAGTATCCATCAAATACTAATATGTTGACCTTATATGAATGGATAACCATTTCTTTGGACCCAATGCCACGAGTAACCCAATAACAAAATAAAGGAAGCAAAGTATTCATTACCCCAATATCCCACTTTGCCTTGTCTATTAATAATGCACCAACCATCATTTCTCTAATTTCAGAACCTGAGCACAAAGTTAGAAATGAAGAAATTGATTCAAAGTCGATATTATAGGCCTATTGATATATGCAGATGTTTAATGCCCTGTGAGACTCCCCTACGACAGTCATGTTGCTCTTGCCCCAGCCGTCCAGATTGACGTTGTCGTGTAGTTCTATAGTGCTGACGACCATCACTCCAGAGAAGCCAATGGCAGCGACTTCAGCAAAGTGAATGAATTCAAGGGTGGTAGTCGAGAGTTGGTCGTTGCCATTAACATCAAAGCTGTTGAAGACCCAAGGCTGGTCATAACATAAGGGTAAGGTGGTGGAGTAGATTTGAAATTCAGGTTGGGTTTGGTAAGGTCAAGGATTTGGTTTTTAATTTTGATGTTGGATGAAATTTCAGACCAAGTGGACTCATGGGCTTGTTAGCTCATTGATTACATAAAATAGAAATGGGAGTATTATTGTCATTGGCTTGGTTCAGTTGTAAATTGTCATTAATTTGGGCCGGGTTTACACCTTGACCCACTTTCAAATTTGACCTAGCTTGTCCCTCATCACCTGTGCCATGCAGCAACTCTCCTCTCTCACGGTGGTGCTTGTCCGGTGGCTTTGGCAAAGGGGGTGGGTCAACCACAACCGTAGGTGGCGGTGGCCATGCTGGCATCGTTGCTCTCTTTACCCACTCATGGTCGTCTCCTTGTCGGAAGAAGCCTCCTCTTTCCTCTTCCTTCTCGTTTCCTTCAATTGAAACAATAGTGGTCTCCTTTTTTCTTTTTCTGATCTCCCCTTCCATTGGCAATAGGTTTTCCCTTTGTTTTCGTCACTAATTTTTGCTTGGCTGGATTCCATTAACAACTTTGTGACTTGAACCATTATCGCTTGAAAGCTCTCCGAAATTTCCTTTTTCTGTTCATCGCCACCTTTTATCGAGTGATAGTTTATCTCCTTTGGTTCTCCTACATTCTTTTCTCCTCGCATGGTCTTTGTCTCCTCCGTAACAGATTTTTGTTGCATCTTAGACTCTAGCTTTTGAGGTTCATCATCTACCAAATTAGTTTATGGTAGATATTTTTCTAAAAAAGCTTTCATAAAGTTCCACCAATTTGCCTTGGGATTGAGCCAACACCAACATTTGTACCAGCTGAAAGCACATTCTCTGAGCCCCTCACTGCATCTGTTAACTTCTCATCTTCATGGATTCTCTATGCCTGAAAATATTGTTCCATGTAGATTAGCCATCTCCAAGCATCATCATCTAATCCATAGAACTCGAGAATTTCTCTTCTCCATAAATTTCTTTTTAGTGTGGCCATGGTTCAAAGCTACTCGGATTGGATAGCTTTGATACCAATTGATAGAGATCAACAATTCACCAAACAATTTTGTAACGAACTGAAGGGACTTAATATTGATATGGAAGCTTGATACAGCAAAGAACTAAGAAAATACAAGTAAGTGAAGGAAAATTATAGATATCCTTGGGCAATTAGAGAGGCTCCAGTCTATGTATCAAAAAAAAAAAAAAAAGAGAGGCTCCAGTCTCTCCCAAATCCAGCCCAAGTCCAAGATTCCAGATGTCCCCAATGTTAAGCTTCTCTTCCTATTTAATACCACCCTTCGTCTAATGCACCGAGAGTGTGACTCTAACCAAAAGATTCCCTCCTATCTAACCTATGCTAGGTCAGCATTTGCATTTGAGAGCCATGATCCCATACGTCTCTTTCTTTCATAAGTCATCCTAACCTTTTACTTGGCTTAACCGTATCAAATTCCTAATAATTTTACTCTTTAATGCTGTTTATTTGTTGAAAATGGGAAGATGTCATATTCCAGTATCTTGAATATAAAGAGACTGTATAGAAACTTGGCCTTTAAAGTTCTTGATTCCCCGTGATAGCTATCATGCTTTTAGTGGGTGTCCTTGCCTAGAGACACTTGTTTCAGGATCTCGTTATGCTTGCTTTTAGTAAAGCTTGTCTTTCTAAAGGCTTTGCAACTGTTTGTATCAATTGATAACAAACAAATTCGGGTTGTTGTCACTTTATTTTTTTAATTAATTTTTTTTTTCATGCGCTAATTATGTCAAAGCTTTGTTATCAAAATTTCATTTACTTGTAAGTGTTGACAACCAATTTATTTTATGAAGTTGGAGGGATGTATAAGTTTCGAAACACTGATGCCCAGTGTTGTGTTTTTATATTGATATTTGCAGGAACACCTTAAACAAAGGGATCTGTCTTTTGTATTCAGGTTACAGGTAACTGAAGCAATCTAATTGTTACGTTGTTTCAACTTTCTCACTTTTTCTTCTTTTGGCTGGTGTTTTTCCAACTTTCTTACTATGTGGACTTTGTTCTCTCTCTTTCTCTTTTCCTAATAAATGATTACTTCTGGACTTGATTAATCACTGTAGTAGTAAATTGTTCTTAAGTTGGAAATATTTTAATCAAGAATTCCTTTTTTCCATTTAATGGGGTTTTTGGCTGATCAGTGTTAGTTTGGATTCTCTTATAGTTGTTTTTGGACCTTTTCACCTTGTGCTACATTAATATGATAGTTTTGAAGTTTACCTCCTTGATGGAAAAAAGGCTCACAAAATTGCAATCAAGCCCACACAACCTGCTTTGAATTGCCTGTGCTAATTATGGTTTTTTTTCCCCCCATCATAAAGCTAGCTTCAAATTTCCCTCTTTGAGAATTGTGAAGGAAAACATTTTTTGTCTGTTACTGTTTGCAATAACTTTGTGAATAGCCATTCCTTTTCCTTCCAAATCCATCTACCAAATAAATAATGCCTTAAGTACCCATTGACTGCTCATTTGTTTAATCTGCCCTTAAGTGTGAATATTTAATAGCTCGCCCTCAACTGTAAATCTCCCTTATTTAGTTTTTATTTTTTATGCTGTAGTCATTCCTGTACTCACAATATATATATTTTATTTTTGGTGTTCTTTTTACACCATAGGGTGCTGATAATTCAACACTTTATGGGTGCTGTGTCTTAGTTGATGAATTAGTGCAAAAGCCCTCTGGATTCCTCTCCCTGATTTCGGATAAGCAGTCGTCTTACTCTTCTTTGAGACGCCATATACTAACCACACGGAGATGTTACTGCATTCTCTCAAGGCTCCCATTTTTTGAACTGCACTTTGGTGTATTGAATAGGTATGTATTTATAATAATTCAGAGTTCTCTCCCCTGACCAGGGGTGAGATGTTGAAGATATTTGCAATTTCATTTATTGTATTTATTTTTGTAAGGATGGTTCTGTTAGTGTTAACTAGTGGTTTGTTGTGTCCTGTATGCACCAAAGCAGAAAAATGTCTAGCAACTACTTCTGATCTGGTGAGGGTTTATGGGATTAATCTGAAGTACTTTATGAAACCTATATAGGCTAGTATTTTGTATGTTTTGTGAAATTGAATTGTCAGTTTGCTCCTGAATATTGTTCAGTTTCAAATAGAGACTGATAAAATGAATATTTTTTTTCTTAAATTAATGAACTATTAAACTAGGTTGGGGTTGAAAAAAGCATGTAAAAATCGATGTTTAATAGACATGAAACTCATGTACTTGGGTTGAAAATGCACGCCTCTGTAAAGAACTATTTCAACCTAAAAGTTTAAGCGGTTAGGTGAAGACACATTAATGGTTTAATATTTTATATCATATTTCTCTAACACGCCAAGGGTGGACAATGCACAGATCCATCTACCTGTGCTAAGAAACTCCACAATATTTAATTATTTATTAATAAAATGGTACAAGCTTCATGGGAGCTAAGATATAGTTTGTTGTGACATAAATTTGGTCTTGCGCAAAGTGGAGTAAACTTAACTTTACTATTGTTCAAAGGTGAATAAAGTTTTAAACTTGTTTGTTGTTTTTATTTCATCTGTACCTCAGCTTCCAATTTCAAATGCGTGAGATTATTTTCATACTTGTTTTTCAGGTTTTTCTCATATGAAGTTAATAGTTATGTAATGGAAGATGAAATGAAATATTTTTCACCTTCTAGATTTTTGGTGTCATAAAAAGGGTAGAGCAAGACTAGCAAACATTAGGAGAAACCATTAGTATGGTTTTTGATAGAGCCCTATGGCATTGATTGATCCATGTAGCCGACCCCATCTAGTGGGATAAGGCTTGGTTGTTCTTGTTTTATTATTTTGGTAGTTTGCATGATGGCATGCTGTTTGTTATCTGGGTATTTGGCTGAAAGTATTTGAATTATGCATATTATATGCGCACATTTTATTCTTATGCGTGATACGAATTGTTTACCTTCTAGCTTGCCAGTGTATGCTATAATTTTGTAGTTTTGGCTCATCTTATTGTTCTAATATCTCTGTAGCATCTTCATGCAAGAAAGGCTAGAGCGGTTGACAAAAGGTGTTGGAGATTTGAATTTAGAATTTGTTGAAGGTAGTTATGGGGAAGAAAATTCAGGGGGAATTTCAGAGTGTGTGTTGGTGAATGATACACTACTAGAAGACAGACTTGATGAAAATCCTAGAATTTCTCAATCATGCTTAGGAAATTCCTCACCTGAAAACATTGAGGGTGATAATAATCGTCCAGAGAAACAAATGATTAATGGGGAGTTGCATACATTTAAGGAGGGAATCAATGATGACAATGTTGTGGCAATTGATCCTGAAATTGATAGAAAAACGGCCAAAGAGGAATCTGGCCCTACAAATTCTGAAGATAATGATCTGTATGGAGATGCTTTTGTAACAAACAAGCCGTCAGAAGATAGGCGTTTGCCAAATGCTATTCTGCCACTCCTGCGCCATTGCCAGTATGAAAGCTCTGAATCTTCCTGCAGGTACAAGAAAGTGTGATTTTCCAGTGCATTTAGTCAGTATTCATATGATCTCAACATTAAATAAAGGAGCTTGCTGTGCCCTCACTGATGTCATGGATCTTTTCTTTGTTAGTCAGATCTGAAAGTACTAAGAACAAAATCTAGTTTTGTACATGAATTTGTTGTGTGTGTCATTTGATGTACTTTCTTTCTTTGTAGGTTCAAAGAATTTTCTCTGTTACTTGCTTAGTCCGTTTGACATCAGATATTTGGGTGGATCTTTATTTCTATGGGAGGCATAAAGTAGTATTTGTCATTCTTATGTTTAGTGGTGTATACTTGTGCATGCCACATGGAATGAGTTGATACGGTTTAATATAGACATTGAATAAATCATAAGCTACCCCTGGCATCTCTGCTTTGAATCTGCTGTGGTTTCTTTTCTCTCTCTCTCTCTCTCTTTTTTTTTTTTGGTTGTTTTCTCTACCGAGAATTCCTCATTCTTCTTTTTCCTTGTCTTCTTCTCTCTTTTTAATAATTTTTTTTCACTTATCCAAATTTTGATGTATTTACAGTTACACAGTTATCTTTTAGACTGATTATGCTTTGTCTTCTATTAAATTATTTATTCTTTCTTCTAAGTTCATCTTAAAAATATGGTCTGCTTTATGCAGTTTTCAAGGTTCACCTTTCGAAGATAGGAATTTTAGGAGTGATTTGTTGTCCATTTCTTATGAGGAATGCCTCTTAAACATATCGTCTGCTTTTTGCAGTTTTCATGGTTCACCTTGTGAAGACAGAAATTTTAGGAGTGATGCTGATGATACGGAGACAGAAGATGCTTCATTCTCTGGCCAAGAGGATTTAAGTGACCTACATGATATCCTTGAATGGGCTAAGGTTTGTAATTGTAAATGCACCTAATGGTATTATTGCCTGGTCCTTTGTAATGATATTTTATAGCTGGTGTTATTTTACCAATTCCCAGGCAAATAATTGTGGGTCACTACAGATTATAAGTGAGTATTACCACTTAAGTTGCCCTGCAAGGGGCTCAGCACTTAGGTTTCGTCCTTTGGAGCACCTGCATCCCTTGGAATATCACAGACCAGATGAGACAGTTCTACATCTTGCTGGTTCAACTTTTGATTTAAAATCTTGCAGTACAGGTTTGAAATTGGCTGAGGTATGTTGCAATAATTTGGATTGGATTAAATTGCTTTTGTTCCACTTAAGATTTAGGATTTTGAGTATTCTGGGCTGTATTTTGTGTCATGGTTATATGCTCATGGTAAACAAGTACTTCATTTTTGTTTCTATCAGGCACATAACTCTCTTATGGCTGAGGAGGAGGCAACTGCCTTATCTATATGGGCTGTGGCATGTGTGTGTGGTACCTTGAGACTTGAAAATGTAGGTTGTGTTTTGGCCTCTTTTTTTTATGAAATCTATGTTCTTTTGCCATATATTTTTTTTATTTGTGGAGATTTATCACTCCATTGATAAATGTTACTTCTAGAGTTAAAGAGAAGATCTGATATTATATATTGATTTGATCACTCAATTGTAGCCAAACTAGAGGGAAATTATGCATGTTGGATATGACTTAATGTTGATCTGGTTGAGCCCTGGAATTGAAATGTAGTGATCTGAGCATAACAGTTTCATAATGCTTGTCCTGGAGTTATGCAACTAAATATTGGTTTGAATGATTATTTGCCCATTGTGCAGGTGTTAACATTCTTTGCAGGAGCTCTCCTGGAGAAGCAGATAGTTGTCGTCTGTTCTAATTTGGTATGTCTTGTGCCTCAATTTTAGTAATGATCTTGTGAAGATGATTAATCTTCCTTATTTGATTTTAATTTTAATTTGATTGTTATCTGAGCCATTACTTATACGCTTATAAATTGTTTTGTCCTAGATTCATTGTTATTCCTTTATTATAGGCCCCTGCTCTATTAGTAACAGTAGTAATTATATTTGTTTTTTTGCCTATGCTTTATCAGGAATAGTAGTACTTAAATTTGTATTTTGGTTTTCTCATTTTGGCCCTACTGATGTGCTCATGTACATTTGATCAGTCATTTTGCTGCTTATTTTTAATGTGCCATTCGTGTTGATTGTTTTCAGATCTTGCAAGTGTGCTTATCCTCTAGTTTTATAAATTAGTCACTTTCAAAATGAAATATAGCTATACTATGCCTGACACCCAATCTTTGATTTTCTGATCTGGAGAATTTAATTGCCCGAAATTGGCATCTCACATGAATTGTTGATATTTCATCATTGTCCTTGATGGAAACATTTTACTTCTTTAACAATCAGGGAATCCTTTCTGCTTCAGTTCTATCAGTTATTCCGCTAATTCGGCCCTACCAATGGCAAAGCCTGCTAATGCCGGTTTGATTTCTCTCTTTTTGAGTTAAACTGAATACTAATTTTTACATGTTTTTAATTTCTCTTCTCCACCTTATATAGTACTTGATAAGAACATGCTCTTCCAGGTTTTACCAAATGACATGCTTGAGTTTCTGGATGCACCTGTCCCTTACATAGTGAGTATTCCGTTCTTGCTTTCACTATTAAGAATAATATCTGCTTCAAGTCAGGCGATGATTATTTATTTATTTACGTATTTGCATTTTGGATTTATTTGTTCTTTTAAGTCCATGCTCAGTACTGGCTCTTGTAATGCCTCATTATTACTTAGAAAATGATATTGAATATATTACTTTGGAGCTTGTAAAACCCATTTAATATTACCTTTCACAAATTGGAACATAAAATTAAATTGTTATTTGGCGTGTAGTTTTAATTTGATTTCAACTGTTTTTATCTTTCCCTTTTCTATTGATGATACCATATCTGACATCTGACTAGCTACAAAATTTATTGGCTAGGTTGGTATCAGGAACAAGACCAACGAAGTTCAGTCAAAGTTAACGAATGTTATTCTGGTTGATGTCAACAGAAACCAGGTGTGTAATTGCATGTTGGGATCTGTGTCTATGTCAGAAAACTTCCAACTTCTAATTGGACACTGACATTTTCTTCTGTCACCATATCCCTATACCATGTCTTTGTTTCTTGGGTTAGGATGGATAGAGAGTTTAGAAATGACAAGGTTCATTGCTTCTGAAGTTTCAGATAATTGATCTCCAATTTTTTTTAAACATTGCTTGATATAAATAACTAAATTGAGTTTCTACCACTTTTCCTGTAAGGATTTGGAAGATTATCCTAATGTTTAGAGTGTGTTTTGGAATGTTGAAAAGTGGGATTTGATTTGATTTGTAAATCAAATTTTGTATTTGGAATGTTAAAAATATGGAATGATTTGATTTCTAAAATACCCAGGATTTCATTGCATTTGTTTTACAAATCCTCTCAAATTGGTAGAAGTTGGTGGGAATTAATTTGATTATAAATTTAATCACAGATTGACCATTTTACCCTTACTAACTAGCTTATTTAATGAAATGAAATAAAAAAAATCTCATTTTTAATGAGTTCCAAACATAAGGTTTGTTTTCTAAATCAATTTAATTTAAATCCCATTTTTATGGTGGGTTCAAAACAGAATTTGATTTCTAAATCAAATCAAATTATTTTGTATTTTTAAAGATTCTAAACACAAGGTAACGGTAGAGGAACTACAGCTTCCTTTTAATTTTAAATCCATAAGTAAGCTCCTAACATAAACTGACCCCAATGATATCCTAATATATAAAGGTCAAATGACCACGGCCTGACTTAGATTTTTACTAATTTATACCCAAAATTTGGAATTAGGGTAAGCAAAGCATTCCAGCGGCTTACTAAACTCAAAATCTTATGATCCTGTTAGAGCATCTTCAGATGAAGTTGTTAGATATATATAATGTACTCTCACCCAACAGTTTAAGCTTTCGGGTTAAATTGATTTTTTACATGGTATCAGAGTCTCGGTGTCTCGGGTTCGATCCTCGCCGCACCTTATTTTTTGTGTGGAATTTCTTAGCACAGGTAGGCTAGACCTTATGCATAATCTACCTTTTAAGCCCAATGGGCTCTCTTGTAATGGGGCATGTTAGAAATATATAAAATCATTAATGTAGCCTCACCCAACAGCTTAAGCTTTTAAGTTAAATTGGTTCGGTTCTTTACATGGTATCAGAGCCTCGTCGCCTCCCACTTTTTCTTGTGGAGTTTCTTAGCACAGGTAGGCTGGGCCTGTTGCATTGTCCACTCTTCAAGCCCAATAGTATGGGCTCTCGTGTGAAGGGGCGTGTTGAGATATATAGTCCCACATTGGTTGTATGTGCAACTAATGTAGAGTTTATAAGATCTTGGGCACTCCCACCCTTTGAGCTAGCTTTTGGGTTGGTGACCTTAAGGTTCTTTACATGGTATCAGAGCTTGAGTGACTATAAGGTCACAAGTTCGATTCTCACGGCCCCCCACTTTCAAGTGGAATTAAAATAAAAAGCACAAAAAGGTAAACCAAAAATTGGGCTCGTGCAATTCCACGCTTCTAGCCCAAAGGGCTCTTGCGTGAGGGGGCGTGTTGAGATATATAGTCCCACATTGATTGTGTGGGCAACTAATGTGGTCTTTATAAGGCCTTGGCCACTCCTACCCTTTGAGCTAGCTTTTGGGTAGTGTATCCCAAGGTTCTTTACAAGTCGTTATAAATTCAGTCCTAATATCAAAACCTGAACTTAGATTCTTTATCTTTGAGCTTATTTATTTTTTACTCTTCTACAACAGTTCAAATGAATTCTTTAATCTGAGTAGATCTTCTTGTTTCTTAATCTAAAAACTATCGTAAAATGTTCTGGTTTTTGGAGGATATATTGTGAGTTCATGCGAGTGCAGATTTCCTTTAATCTTGTCCCTTACCTCCTACAATTATTTTCTTTTCATATCGCTATCTTCTAACTTCATTTTTACGTGTCTTTACTTTATTTTCAAGTTTTAGAGAGATACACATTGTTTCTTATTAAAATACTGTTTTTCGGCAATAGGTGAAGTCACCAACAATACCTCAATTACCACGACAGAAAGAGTTAATGTCTTCTTTACGTCCTTATCATGCAACTCTTGTGGGTGAAAGTTACTTGGGTAGGAGAAGGCCAGTGTATGAATGCACGGAAGTGCAGGTGTGCCCTTATTTATTCATTTTATCATTATTCCCTTATTTCCTCTTTATTTTATTTTTTATTTTTTTGTTGCAATCCCTTATTTCCTCTTTATTGCTCTCTCTCTATCCCTTTTTGGTCATTTAGTATCTTGAATATTACAGATGCCAGTCATGCTTGAATGTATTTTATGTTAAGTGATGTAATAGCCATTTTTTGAAGAACCAGTTATTCATTTGCCTAATAGTTCATCATTATATTGTTCTTTGAAAAAATTCAGTAGTTTGTGATAGTTTTATAGAATATTTTCATGTCAAATTGTTAACAACCATGTCACCATATTTTGTTATAGTCTTTGTTTTTTTTTTCCCCCACAGATGGAAGCTGCCAAGGGGTTCTTATCGGTGTTAAGGTCTTACTTGGATTCCCTTTGCAATAACATCCGTTCTCATACAATAACCAATGTACAATCTAATGACGATAAGGTCTATACTTTTTCCTCAACGGAAAATTGCTTAAGACATTTGATCTGACAGCTATTACATTTTTTCCATTTAATGTTCTAAGTCTCTGGAAATAAGGATTTCATCAAGGACCAACTTGGACTTTTTATGAAAAAAAAAGTCAATATCTATTGTGTAGTTAATCCCTGTAATGGAGTAGTTAGTTGTTAATGATCAGTTGGTCCTTTTTTTTGGTAAAAATACTTTGTAAATTGGTTTTAATTTATAATTCTTCTTTTAATCAAAGAAACATCATAGTCCTTTAGAGGGAAATTGTTTCTAATAACCCAGCTGCAATACCTCCTTTTGCTGATAATTCTTTATTGACTATTCTTTCAAAGTTCAGCGATATGACTGACACAAGCTAGATAAGTTTAGGCGTGCACCTTTGGTTAGGCCTTGCTCAACCTTTACCACAGTTGTCTTTGTCTCTTTATGCAAATTATCCTCGGCTTTTCCTTTTACTAAGTGGCAAGTAAGGAGACATAGATGATCATATTCTAAAGTTCAATAAGCAAAATTAAAACAATTGAAAGAAGATCATGTAAATTTGAGTGTGCCATCTTTTATGAACATTAACTTGCATTGCAAACAGCATATTTTAGTAAGTATTTTGAAGATGCGATGGCTTGTACCTTCAGGTATCCTTGCTTTTGAAGGAGAGTTTCATTGACTCATTCCCTTACCGTGATCGGCCTTTCATGAAGGTTTGGTTCCTGAACTTTACATCGTACCTTATGTTAATTATGTTATCAAATTTTACTTTTGTTTGCTTCTAGGTTTCAAATAATCTGAATCAAATTTTACTTATGTTTACTTGATTTCCCAGTAGCTGAGCCTACTTCCAAAATCTATTGTTAGTATGTAAATATAATTCAGACTTAGTGATTGCCATCTTCCTGGGATTAAAACTAGGGCATTGTGTAAGCAGTTTTTTGCTGCAGTTTTTATGTCTAAATTGACAAGAAGAAGAGAACATGTGAAAGTTGTCAAGGGAGGTTCACTCAATGTAGAGACTAGCCAAGTCTCCTAATTGGTTGTTGCCACTTGCCACCCTTGCAGATGCATGACTGCTTGAGAATCATTGTCGTGCTTGTTATCTGTGGTCTGTTCAGACTTTATTCGTGGGTTGATATATAGTCTTCTAATATTTTTTATAGTGCATATAAACCATTGGCAAGCTTCCATCTATTGGCTTCTGGCCAAGCAGGGCCTCGATGATATCACTGATAACCTGAGATAGTGAGATCCATTGCTGAACCTTAACTATGATCTTTGGAGTGTGCTTGTACACTTCAAACATATGGGTTGGGTAGCTCAGTTGCATTCCTTTCTTTTACTTGGGGAATCGGCTTGTGCTAACGTCAAGCAAATAAACCTGATTGAGTTCTCAACTGTATCCACCTCTATATCTGTGTGGGAAGCCAAATTAATGTGTGTAATGAGCAGCAATTTTTACGTAAGACATGGATTAATTATGCTTAGTACGATGTTCATTTGTCAGTGTGCTAAAATAGTTTAGGCATGCTTGTCTTATTTGTGTTATTTAAATGAGAGATATTCCTATATTTATAGAGCTTCTCTGTTCTTGGGTATTTATTATTCTCAGATTACTAATGCGGATTGTTTCTCCTTTTTTGCCTTGTGCTAAACAGCTTTTCGTGGATACACAGCTCTTCTCTGTGCATACAGATCTTGTTCTCTCTTTCTTCCAAAATGAATAGGCCTGAAATGAAACACATTTTGGGGATATTACTGCATTGCACAGCTCGAACGCAAGTTCAGTGTTGTATAATTTAGCTACATTATGTATGAGCTAAAATTTTCTCCCCTTATATGTAACCCAAAATTCCACCCTCTTTTCTCCTTTAGGCTTTCTGCAGAACCTGTACATAATTAGTTAAATGATATATTCGATCTTATTAAGTGTTACAAGGTTTCATTCTATGTAAATGACATTTTTTCATACACAAAAAGTAAAAGATTTGCTTTGACTTGGGCTATATGCTCTCAAGATAGCACTTAGACAGATTCTGCTGAACCATCTGTAATGTGTTACTGAAACTGAGCGTATGGAATCATGGATGTTCATTATAAAGGTAAGGTCATTAGTATGCTTGAAAATTTGTTATGAATGTTCCTACAACTTAATGCATCATAATTAAGATTACTATGTTTCGTTATGGCTTCTATTGAGTTCATAATAACCATGTTCTCTCATTGAGCACTTGTGTTTTAAGTCATTGTCCTCTAATTTGTTGTTCATTAAAAAGTCGAGAACTTGCAATTGGCATGGGACTTGTATTAAGGTAAATCAATGGTTGGGTGTAGCTTCTAGCTCTACTGGAGCTGATTGAAAGGAAAAAAAAAACTATGATTTGGTCAGGAATGGGTGGGTTGCAAACAAACATTGGACACTTCTGTGTTCCTACTTCCTACCACATAAGGAAACAATTGTTCTGGCTTCTTCATTGGGTCTCATTGCTGGGTCATCACATTAAATTTATCCAATCTCATGCTGATTTTGATGCTTCTTGGCTGATAGGTTTGATTCTTTATGGGAAAATTATTAATGCGCTGTGCACTATATCTCTTTGACCTCGACGTATTCATAAATTGTTTGTGAGAATGTGAGCCCCGTTCTATAATATCTAATGTGTTCCACTGGGAAAAATTAAAAAAGAAGCTAAGTACTTAAATTATGACCATTTGATTATTTAAAACGCACGTAAAGGCAAGTCACATGGCAATGGCAAACTCTTCGTAAGATTTTTTTATTTTTTTATTTCTCATCATCACTAAATTTGAAAAGATATGAAAGGAAGAGTAAAAAGGATGACTAATTTCTTAAACTTCAGAATGGCCATGTTCCATATCATACAAGCTTTTTTAAACCTCTAACTTGCTTTGTATATAACAAAATTCTTCTTTGGAATAGTCATATAGAAGGGTTCGTTCTGTATTCAAAACTTGTTAAACTTGGCGGAAATTTATGGTGCACTTGCCATTGCCATTTCAAGTTGTTGAAATGATCTCTATTCACCAAGTGTGAGTTGAATTCTGGTCAAAGTCCAAGATGTGACAATCTGTTGTATGATTCAAAACCGGAATGATAAGAGGAAACAATTGTGTGATATTACATAATCTAAGATCGAGCAAAGAAAGTGCGAAGATCACAAAAGAAAATATTAAAAAATGTGAATGGGGAAAAATATGAAAAAAGACTTGTGGTTCACTTTGCTTAACTTGCTTATGAGCAAGGTACGTATTTATGGAGTCCTTAAATAATTTTAAATTTAATTCAATTTAGCAAACCTTGAAATTAATGACAAACAAATTCTAAGTAACTCATTGGAAATATTTAACTTATAGATACATAACCAACAAGAGAGTGATAAATTTGAAGATTAGGAAATAGATACCCTTTTTGTGGCAAAATATTCCTTCCATCAAATTTTCCACTACCAAGCCAAGGAAATGACTGAATTGTCCTAACCTCTTTCATTTTAAACTGGATGAAAAGCTGCTCTTGTAACTGAGAAACTTCCTTTTCATCCTTACATGTACATCTATATATATATACATGTTACTGTCCATCTATATATATATATATATATATATATATATATATATATATTATATAATAAAATCATTTCTGCAGCTGTTTTATGTACAGCAACGACGGGTGTATAATTATGATTCCTCACATTAAATGCTTTCATCTTTTGTATGATTATGATTTCTCACATTTAATACTTTCACGTATGTATATATATATATATATATATATATATATATATATATAGCAAGTATTTGACTGCTGCTCGTACAGCAGCTGCAGAAATATAAACCCCTATATATATATATATATATATATATATCATGCTAGAATTGGAATTGAGTGACATATAACTTCAAAACTGCATGTATTCAAACAAAAAAGAGCCTTGAACTCTAAACACTTGGAGAAAACTATTGACTTATATAAGCTTGTTAATGAATCCAGGTGAATCTTGAAAAATCAACAACAAATAGCAATATATAATGACAACCAGAATATGAAAGATTCTTAGTTTGACACATAAAGTCACCAACATTGTCGCATTCCTAGTACCGTGTGCGATGAGGTCGAGCGTGTTAGAAATCAACTTGACTTTGCCATCAACCCACCGCCAACTGAAAAGTTTCTTCTGCCATCTACTAGAGCCTACTATCTACAAGGCCTTCTACCGCCACTCTAGATGAGTTGCAAATAGCCAAACATTCTTGATGGGGTGCCGACAAACCGACAAACAATTGAATAATAAAAAAAAGGGGAAAGAGAAGACAAGTCGGTAAATGCAAGCTAATACAAGTCGGTTGTAGCATGCTATATATATAGCTGTATGTTTAGATGTGTTAGTACAATTTAGTGAAAAAAGGAAAGAAACAAAAGTGTAGTACTCAAAGTGTCGTAGCACTTAGAAATGGAAGAAACAGTGAGCGTGAGATTAGTTCTTGTAATTTTTTTAAAGAAATTTTAATACAAGCTTTCTTCATCTATCTTTTCTTTATTTTCTCTAAATTTCCAACAAGTGGTATCAGAGCCACGTTCGATCAAAGATGGCGGAAATGATGCAACCACATATTCCAAAATTGTCAAAGAGTAATTATGGGAATTGGAGCATTCAGATGAAGACGTTGCTAGGTTCCCAGGATATATGGGACCTTGTTGAGGATGGATACATGGAGCCCGCCAACGCAGCTGCAGAAGCAGTTTTATCAGATGCTCAGAGAAAGATGCTTAAAGATTCACGTAAGAAGGACAAAAAGGCTCTTTTCTTAATTTTTCAAGGTGTTGATGAATCAACCTTTGAGAAAATATCAGATGCAAAATCATCCAAGGAAGCATGGGAGATTTTACAGAAGTCTTGCCAGGGAGTTGACAAAGCTAAAAAGGTACGACTCCAATCACTTAGAGCTGAGTTTGAAAACTTAAAAATGCAGAATGCAGAGCCAGTTACAGATTATTCCTCACGAGTGCAAAAGGTGGCCAAAGAGATGAAAAGAAATGGAGAGACTCTAGATGATGTCAGAGTAATGGAGAAAATTCTACGGTCACTAACAAGAAAGTTTGATTATATAGTCACTGCCATTGAAGAAGCCAAAGACTTGTCAGTTATATCTATTGACGAGCTTGTGGGTTCTCTTCAAGCTCACGAGCAAAGAATTAATCTTAATGAAGGTTCTAGCAAATTGGAGCAAGCTTTGCAAAGCAAGTTATCCCTTGATGTTAATCAAGCCAGTAGCAGTAGCTATGGACGTGGCAGAGGAAATCATGGTGGATATAGAGGAGGTTTCAACACCCGAGGTGGATTCAACACTCGAGGCGGCCGTGGCATACGCGGTGGATATAGTCAAACAAATAGAAGATTTCAGACTGATGCTGTAGCATATGGACGTGATCAAGGAGGATATAATAATCGTGGTCGATGTCGTGGTTTCGTGACCCGAGGAGGAGGAAGATTTCAACAAAGAGGTGATAAATCTCACTTGCAGTGTTATAATTGCAACAGATATGGTCATCTCAGCTATGAGTGTAGAGATGCTGCTAGAGTTGCGGAGAGAAGTCATTATACAACAACTGAAGAGAAAGATGATGAACCGACCATGTTGTTCACTTACAAAGGCGAGGAAGATAGTGGGAAAGATGTTTGGTACCTTGATACCGGAGCTAGTAATCACATGTGTGGCAAAAAGGAGTTATTCACAGAATTGAATGAGGATGTCCAAGGAGAAGTTACGTTTGGCGATCTATCAAAGATTCCAGTTAAAGGCAAAGGTAAGATTATGATATTCACAAAGAATGGAGATAAAAAATACATTTCAGATGTCTATTATATACCATCTTTGAAAAACAATCTCCTCAGTCTTGGTCAGCTTTTAGAAAAAGGATATGATATTCATTTGAAGAATAATTCTCTCATTATGAGAAATCAAAAAGGAGAATTGATTGCAAAAGTTGATATGACAAGAAATCGTCTATTCAAGCTAAACATCCAGACAAGTGCAATAAAGTGCATGAAGACTATCATAGAAGATAGTTCGTGGTTATGGCATCTTAGATTTGGTCATCTTGGATTCACTGGCCTGAAGCTGCTATCAAAAGCAAAGATGGTAAATGGATTACCAATGATAAATCAACCTGATCAGCTGTGTGAAGGATGCATGAGAGGAAAGCAACATAGACAAAGCTTTGAAGTTGGCAAATCATGGAGAGCAAAAAGACCATTGCAGCTAGTTCACTCAGATATAGCTGGTCCATTTGATATTCCATCTCTTGGAGGAAACAAGTATTATATTACTTTTATTGATGATTTTAGTAGAAAAGCTTGGGTATATATTCTTAAAGAAAAATCAGAAGCTCTTGAAAAGTTCAAAGAGTTCAAAGCAATGACAGAAAAGCAAAGTGGTCAGTATCTGAAGACACTCAGAACAGATAGAGGGGGTGAATACACTTCCAAATTATTTGAAGAATTTTGTAGGCAACATGGAATTATTCATCAATTGACAGCAGCCTATACACCACAACAGAATGGTATAACAGAAAGAAAGAATCGTACAATTCTTGATATGACAAGGAGCATGCTCAAAGAAAAGCATCTACCAAAAACACTCTGGGCTGAAGCTGTCCAATGTGCTGCCTATCTATTGAATCGATGTCCAACAAAGAGTGTCAAGTTCAAAACACCAAATGAAGCATGGAGTGGTAGAAAGCCAGAGGTAAGCTATCTAAGAATTTTTGGTTGTGTAGCATATGCCCATATTCCAGATCAGAAGAGAAAGAAGTTAGATGATAAAGGAAAAAAATGTATCTTTACTGGCTACGAGCATAGGAGTAAAGCTTACAGACTATACAATCCCCTGACAAAAAAGTTAATCATCTCAAGAGATGTGGAGTTTGACGAAACAGATTACTGGAAATGGAATGATGAAGAAAAAAGAGTAGAAGGCTT